CATGACATGACATAACATAACATGACATACCATAACATGACATACCATAACATGGCATAACATAACATGACATACCATGACATAACATAACATAACATGACATAACATAACATAACATGACATAACATAACATGACATGACATACCATAACATGACATACCATAACATGGCATAACATAACATGACATAACATAACATACCATAACATGACATACCATAACATGACATAACATGACATAACATGACATAACATACCATAACATGACATAACATAACATGACATAACATGACATAACATGACATAACATACCATGACATACCATGACATAACATGACATGACATAACATACCATAACATGACATACCATGACATAACATGACATACCATGACATAACATAACATGACATAACATAACATAACATGACATAACATGACATAACATAACATGACATAACATGACATAACATGACATAACATACCATAACATGACATAACATGACATAACATGACATAACATACCATAACATACCATAACATGACATACCATAACATGACATAACATAACATGACATGACATAACATGACATACCATAACATGACATACCATAACATGGCATAACATAACATGACATACCATGACATAACATAACATAACATGACATAACATAACATAACATGACATAACATAACATGACATAACATGACATAACATGACATAACATACCATAACATGACATACCATGACATGACATGACATAACATGACATAACATGACATACCATAACATGACATACCATAACATGGCATAACATAACATGACATAACATAACATACCATAACATGACATACCATAACATGACATACCATAACGTAACGTGAAAAACTAAGAATTGTATTTTCAGCTTAAAAGACTGGGTCAAAGCTGCTAGTATTGAATACGTTAATAACTGTGAAAATAAAAGTCAGTAATTCTAGTTGAGAGGATCTATTTAACCTACATTAAAAAAAAAAAAACACTAATCGGTGCTGGTTGTTATAGGAGAGCGGGTACTTTGTGTCTGAGCGTTCTTCAAAAATATTTAAAGTGTTAAAGTCCAGCCCTGATCCACCACTAACAGTATATCTTGCATTAATGAGCTCCTTATCAGCATAAACCTACACTGCTGAGATACAGAAGGCTTTTGCTCTCTTAACCTGAGCATGTTAGGTCTGGAGGATATTAGAGGATGTTGCATTGTTGTCTATTTCTTTGTCTAACTACAGAGGCAACGGTGTGACTCACTGCACTTTCACCACCATACTGAGCCTTTGTTTGTACATAATCAATACAGAAATGTTCACAATGTCAAGATATTTATCTTTTTTCCTTCTTTAACTACATTGTAAAATGACAGAAAGCTCTCACCATCGTTATGTATAAAACATTTCATGCTTGATGAGTACCCTTCCTAAAGTGTGAAGAGAGACAAAGAGAGACATGCCTAGCTAGGACCGGCGTATGCCATGGATGTGAAGAGATCCTCTTGAGGAGGCGGAGGGATGGAGGGAGGCAGAGGCACATTGAAGCAGATGCAGAGAAATGTGAGAGGGTGTCAGTGAGACTGGTGATGACGCGCTCATGGCTGCGGAGAGCTGGCGAGGCCGCGGCCCTGGCTCTGACTCACCTCATCCCCACGGGGCCTCCTGGTTGACGTCACTCAGCGTGCGCTGTGGCATTTCTCTGCTTCAACTTCTTTGTGAGCAGTAGCCACACATGAGCCTTTCTCACATCTGAGATACTCTGAAAAATGCATCTATCTATCTATCCATCTATCTATCTATATCCATCTATCCATCTATTGATTTACTGTATCTTTATAACTATCTTTCTTCTAATCTATTTATTTAGTTCTCCCTCTGAATGTACTACCAGAGCTTTTTCTGTTGTGCAGTTTTTTGTCTAACTACCAGTGTCGAGCAGAGGTGTGACTCATTGCGCTTAAAACCTAAAACAGGGTACACTTTGTACATTGTCAATATATTACTTTAACTTGAAATGTTAAGTCATCTGACACATTTGTTTTTGTAACATCCAACAACAATTCTGACTGTATATTACCTCCACAGTTAGATGAGTAGGGTGAAATTATAAATAATAGTTTAAGGGCGTAGATAAACTTCTCTTATGCTTAACGCTGCAGCAAGCTGCACACCTTGCAATGTTCTGCTCTCACCTCTTGGATGTACATGAAGTCCTGTTGGGAGGTAAATCACTAAGGAGCAGACGACAGCAGTAGGTGGAATGTTGCATTGCTCCAGCAGGTCATTAACATGGCCTTTACTCTAGTTATGAAAGCAATTGTAAATGATACGTCCTGCGGAGTTAAGATTGAATTTAACCATGTTTACAGCATATAACTAAATAAATACGTCATGTTTTTATTTTTTGTGTTTACATAAAAATAGTTATTATAAAATGCACACTGAAATGGTTTACTGTATTCACATTGAGTTTGGTAAAATTGTGGATCAAACACTGCAATGATTCCATATAATATGTTATTAGTGATGTGTAAAGCACAGTCATCTGCATATAAACGAGCTGTGTATCAGGCCACCTGCTCTTTTACACGACTGAAAACAAACAGAAAGTTAGAAGCAGACAAGTACTGTATAAGGGAGCATGCTGGTATAGGTTCTAAAAATAAAACATACTAGTTGGCAGCGTGTACTCCTGTAATCAGCTTACATTTGTTGGCAACAAGCAGTGTATTGGAATAGGATTTTGGTGCTTTTCTTTAACATTTAGATCACCATAAAGTTGTAGCTGGGTCTAACAAGTAAAAAACACCAATCAGAGATCTGCTTTATGTGTCTGGCATGTGACTGAAATGAATAGTGCAATGCTCTGCTCTGTTTCTGCTCAGAAGCTTTAGCCCTCAGCAGTACCGACCAAGAGAAGACCATGCACCATCCAGACTTGCTGCTGGGGAGAAACCATGGGCAGGGTGAGGGTAGTACACTGGTACAGAGTAGTGCTGGAAGACAAACAGACTCAGATTTATTCCTAAAAGTATCCAAAAGTGTTTCAAGAATTAGCTACCACGCCCGAGTCCACACAGTACAAACACAAGCCCAAAGTCTCTCACATCACACGTTGCTTTGTGGTGCTGAGCAAATATCCAGAGGGACCTGGACACAACAAACCACACACTTCAACCTATCCATTCTGCCTCTACGTGTTGAAAGTGTTGGCAGTAAACCCAACAAAGCAGGTCTCACACTACCCGCTTCTTCCTAGTGGAGAGCTGCAGCAGGATTAGGATCCTACGGCTCCCAGAGGACCCAACACAAATGTTGCAGGAACAGGATGTATTTACTCTAATGCAGGCAGAAGTGGGCGGTCAGCATCATAATTACAGGATGAACGCTGGGTAAAATTTCATATTTATGGTATGGAAATAAGAGAGGCTGTTATTGTTTGGCAAACTGCAAGCAAATGTATCATCTTCCAGTAAACTGTACTCATCTAATGTGATCAATATAGTGTTTTAAATATTGTGCGTGGATGGTTTAGTTCTGTTAAGAGTAATACTCACACTGCAGCTCTGAAGTCTGACTCAAACATCTCCATTGCCAAAGGAAACTACATTTAGTCAAAGAAAGCAGCGAAGGCTTCTGTAATGTTTTATTTAGTTTTAGTTTCTGCTGCCATGTTTTGCTATTTATTTTTAAAGGAATTGACGTTGGCTTATTGCATTTATAAAGATTAAAATATGTTATTGTGTCTATGGAACGGGGTAGAAAGATTTTAAGTTGATCTGCAGGAGTGGGTAAGGCTTGACATCCGGCGGGAGCGAGATCTGGGTGCCACAATGGTCACATTCAGAAGGAAATTATGTGTCTAAAGAGTTAGGGATATCACAAATGTCTCTCAGTCTGTATTGCAACATAGCAGCTTCCATTTTAAAACTAAATATACACACGAGTGTCATTGGCATAACATGAATGGGCCATTCTTACAAGATAGCATTGCAAAGGGGGAGCATAAACAAACCAACAAGTCCTCCAACTCATACGACCAAATAGGTCGCTTGTTCAAGCGCTTAGTACAACCTATAATCACGTTTTAAAGTTTACGACCTCTAGTGCTCCCGTTGATGGCAAACGTTATAGAGGGTCGTTTATTCACAAATAACCCTGACCATTGTAGGATAGTTTGGCCAATAAAATGCTTTTTGATTAGATTTCTAGCGAGAAGTGTATATTGTACTTTTAGAATCTACGTCCAGTGGATGTGTAGGATCTATAGTTTGATAGATATTACAAAGATCATTTGAGATTTCGCCGAACTGTAAGAGACATTATATCAACAACATTGTAAGTATCTCTGCCAAAAAATGACCAAAAAGGCAGAACAGATCACAGTCTCAGTCCTGTGTTAACAATGTTACGGCAAAGTCCACAGGCCAACAGGGCTCACAGTGATGACTATAAAACGACTCATAGGTATCCATTAAACACTGGAGTGAAGCTGTCATGTATATAGAGTAATTTACTCTCGCACAAACTCTATCATTTTAACCCCAGGGTGACTGTTCAGCGCATGACCTCCGTTTCACTGTCATTGGAGCGAGTGCTGCTTCTGTAAGAGCCAAATTGACGACTGCAGGGAATATTGCAGGCTTGTACCCAGACAGGCAATTTTCCCTGTGGTGGGATAATGGCAGTAAGTGGGGGGGTGGTAAGATTTAGTCATATACTGTACACCTACTTGGAGGGTGGTGATTTTATTCTGCTGCCGCCATCCAATATATCGCCTCATTGGTGTTGATTACAGACAGCTCCTGGTTTCTATGTTTTGCCATCTCACCTCCTACAACCTAATTTGAAGGCAGTTGTTTTTTTATTCTTCCAGTGTAATTGTATCTCTTTCTTATTTTGTTACTTTACCCCCGTATAGGAAAATACCTTTTATTTTTCCTGGTAGAGCATTTTTAGAACTGCTTGGAAATGAAACACATTTTAGTGACACAGCTTGAACTGAATTTCCGAGAGCACAAAGAAAAACACAAATCATCCACTTCCATTTTCAATGGAGCAGGTTCAGAGAAAATATCGTGCTGACAATATAGATTCAAGTCTTTAACCTGGTCTCTATTTTTGTGTGATGGTTAATCACATTACCACACTTTGATGAAAAAAACATGAACTTATTTAACTGTACAACATGTCACACGGTTTTTCAATGACTTATTCTGCAGTCAGGGATGTAGACTTTAAAACATTTAGGCTGTGTCGGAACAAATTATCTATAAAACAAAATCTCTCATTTGCATTTAACACCTGGAATCAATATTCATTTATGTTTCCTCCATGTATTGTAATTATGCAAACACAAAAGCAATGCAGAGCTGGCAGTCTCAACATACTGTACATGATGCATACACGTCAAGTTACAGTAAAGGATGTGGGTTACTCTCTTAGGTCTGCTAGATCTGCAAAGGGAGAGTCATGTGACTTTAGGCAAAGGTTTCTTATCCTTAATAATTAAAGTCAAGTAGTCAATTAAAAAAACATTGGAATAATGTAAAACAAGTTTGTGTACACAAAATGTACCAATGTGTAATGGATACAGACGTATTCCTGCCTTATACCAGACAACTCCTTTTAAAAACAAAATATTTCCCTGTACTGTTGCTCCACTGGAGGGTTTGAGGTTAAAATGGAGCTGTTTTTTTAATGATGTCATCTGGAGTATGTATTATATTCCATATATTGGGTGGAACCATTTATTAAATTGTGACTATAGAGCTTACATATCCAGATGCTGATCACATGTTAATACCAGTTTTAAATGATCTAATCCTATCCTATAAAAACTGTGCTTATTGCATTGTAATGTATGAATATCCACCTTGTTCTCAGCTTCTTGAACTAACAATAAGGTTTTACCATTTAGATTTTACCATCTAAGATGTGTGACGACCCCTGTCTATTTCACTCCTCACATCTGTTATGGCCAAGAGCCAGGCCATGACAGATGTGAGGAGTGAAATAAACCTTTTCTTCTACGGGACTCCCACTTGGCTGCGGCAGGGTTTGTTATACAGCCAGACAGAAATAAACAGGTGCAAAAATGCAATTGGCTGTTATAGCAGGAAAGGAAGCCAGTGTTGTGTCTCCTTCAGTTGGAGACACTGGAGTAACAGAGATGGCATCAGGTCACCCTGTTCACCGCCTGACACAGCAAGAGGTGCTCTGATGACGGCTCAGGCATAACCAAGAAGCATCACCTCCAGGATGCACTAACCACCACTCATCACGGCAGCTTGGAGGTGATGGATTTGGGTAAATTGTTAAGAGGGTAGGGCTTGTGATTAACATTTTCAATGTCATAGTTGAATCCCTTAAACTAAGTTACAAATTGAAAGTCAGCTAAATGTAGGATTCGCCCCTGGCTGTGCAGTATCGCAGTATTATCCAACATGGCTGTCTTCTTTCACAGTTGGATCTTCTTCCCATGAGACCTGCAGGCCCCTGCGTCAATCACAAAAATTATTCAAATAGCTTTGACCTCAGTGTTTTTCTCTAAGAAGTCTTTTTATAGCAGGCGGAGCAGCAGAGATGGGCGGGGAGTCAGAGAGTTGGAGGGAGGGGAGTAAAGATGTGGATGGAATGAGCTTTCTTTCTCGGCTCAAAAACTAAAACATTCTTCAGCCTGTCAGAGGGGGAGCCACAGGCTGACGCTTGTCTCTCTCCTCACACATCGCCTGGCTCTCTTCTCTCTGCCAAAAATGAAGACATAACAAAAAAACAGTAGTCAGAGTTAGATGAATAACCAGAGGTACGGCATTGTCATTCATCTTGCTTGCTACTTTAGTGTTTAGTTTATTTCTCTTCTTTTTTACTGTTGTCATATTTTTGTCTGGTTCTCGTTAGTTTTTTTGCTAGAGCTGTTGCTCTTCAAACGTATAAATACACATGAGCTGGACAATCAATAACCATTGCCTGTTCACAGTTTTTTTACAAAACCGGAGTGGTATAAGTTTCACATCTCGATTTTTCCATTTCAATCTTCAAAGTTTAAAAACAAAATGTACAGCCAACATGAACAGAATATGATGAAACCACAGAGCATTACATGTACAAATCCTAGTTGTAGTTGAAGTTTCATGGTATCCTCTAAAAGTCATCTAACAGCAGAATCACCTCTGCAACTGAAGTTTCTTTTCACAATTGACTAACCTGCAACTTATTTGCATCAACCAATAATGGTTAAGTCTATGAGATGTCAAAAAGCAGTTAAGAAATGACCCAAACATATCTCAAATGTGTTTGTTCAAAGTTAAGCAACAAGTTGTCTCATGTGAGAAGATGGGATCAGAGATTGTTGCGTTTTTTTAAACAAAATCTTAAATGGCCAGAATTGATCGACAGGTATTCAGTCAAATAGTATTCATATGTTCTTAAACCTTTGTCCTCACCTGTGTGGCCTCCTTTAACTTTAACTAAGGTTGTACATTAAAAACGAGGGAAACAGTGAGATTGTTGTTGGCTGCCTGAAATTCACTGTTATAATGTATGATGTCCTTTATTGTTTTATGTTTCATATGGAACCTATATGCTGCAGGTCTCCCTTGAAAAAGAGATCTATGATCTCAATGGGACCAATCTCGTTAAATAAAGGTTTGAAATTAAATTAAATAATAATGCAACACATCAGTCCTTAACTGACCATTTCTTCTGTTGGTGGGCAGCCAAACAGACTCTTTGTGTCTGTAAAAGCAGAAGGTTTTTTTCTGTATGTGGCGGAGACATTGATAAATGACATTATTTCTTTTGTTGGGCGTTATGTTTTGCTTTCCTATAGAAAACAATAAAAGGAGAAAAAAAGTTTGGTAGTTGGTCTCCTAATAATCATCTGGATATAATGGAAACTGTCAGGGAGCAAGCAGTAAGGCAACAGGACTGGTTTAAATAAACTAGGGTTTTTATTTACCCCAAAAGTCCACAAGAACATCATACAATAACTAGGCCTATAAAAGAGGTCAACAGAAAATACCTCAAAGGCACATAACAGGTGTTAACTCAACAAAACTGACCTGCTACAATGAAAAACCAAGGAACCTATATAGGGGCTTGGCCAAACCAAGTTGAACCCAAGAGATAATTAATAGTCACATTATACACAAAGGACACTGACAAAACCCAAATCCCCCCTTTGACATGGAAGCAGGTGGTTTGTCCCAATCTGTCCCAATTGGCTCCTTGCAGTATTTATGATCCCTCAGCGCTCGGCCACGCCCTTTGCTGAACCAGGAAGTAACCTCCCCCAATGGACATGGTAACTCAAGAGACAAAGCATGTAATTAATACAAACAAATACTTGTGTATTAGCTGTGCTAAAATGTTTGAAGTAATGTCAGATTACAATCAAATAAAGAGTTTACCATCTAGAGCAAATGTGTGGTGTTAATTGGCATGTTTTATTGTAGCTGCACTGAAGCAAAACTACTGAAGATGAGGATGCAGTGTAGTTGGTTTACCCTGTGTGGCTGTGGCCATCACACACTTTCCCTCCTCTCCCCTCTCCCCTCTCCCCTCTCCCCTCTCCCCCCCTTCAAGACTCTCGCTGGAACAGCGAGAGAGGTAGTCGGCTGTGACATTGTCCTTGCCTGGGATGTGCTGAATGTTGAAGCGGAATGGTTGCAGTGCCAGGTACCACTGGGTAATCCTTCCATTGGTATCCTTCATCCTTCCCATCCACTGAAGCGCTTTATGATCAGTCTCCAGGGTGAATTCTCTACCCAGGAGGTAATACCGGAGAGAGTCGAGGGCCCATTTGATAGCCAGTGCCTCCTTTTCCACGGTTGAATACCTGACCTCCCTGGGGAACAGTTTCCGGCTGATGTAGGCCACTGGATGGCGGTCGTCTGATGACCCCTGGAGAAGCACAGCACCCAGACCCCTATCAGAAGCATCCGTTTGCAAGATAAAATGTTCATCAAAGTTTGGACTGTAAAGAACAGGTTTCTTACTCAATGATCCCTGGATGTCGTGAAAAGCTGCCAAGGACTCCTCTGTCCACTGTATCTGATTTGAAGACCGGGATCCAGTCTGGTCTGTGAGTAGAGCTGCCCTGGCAGAGAATTGTGGTACAAAGCGGTGGTAGAAGCCTGCCATGCCCAGAAAAGATCGGAGCTGCTTCCTTGTGTGTGGCACAGGACATGACTCGATGGCCTGAATCTTGCTGACCCGCGGCCGTATCACACCGCGTCCAATGATGTGGCCCAGGTACTCCGTCTCTGCAGCGGCAAAGACGCACTTCGATGGATTGATAGTCAGCCCCGCAGAGTAGAGGCGATCCAAGACAGTGGGCAGATGTTCCATGTGCTCCTCCCAGGTGGAGCTGTAAATGACAATGTCATCCAGATATGCTCCAGCAAAACCAGATAAATCACAAAGTACCTGATCCATAAGCCTCTGGAAAGTCGCTGGAGCACCATGCAGCCCAAATGGCATGACCGTGAACTGGAAAAGACCCAATGGTTTCCTAAAGGCTGTCAGCTCCCTGGACCGCTCAGTCAGTGGAGGGAATCAAACAGAGAAATTGAGAAATTGAGTTCAGGTACCTAAAATCAATACAAAACCTAAGACTGCCATCCTTCTTTGGCACAAGGACCACTGGGTTGCACCACTCGCTTTTCGAAATCTCAATGATCCCCAGGGACAGCATCAGATCGACCTCCTTTTTCAGTGACGCCAGCAGGCGTTCCGGAATCCTGTAACCCAGCCGTTTCACAGAAGCACCTTCTCTAACCACAATGTCATGCTCAACAATATCTGTTCTCCCAGGATTCTCCTGAAATAATTCTGACCTACAGATTGTCCTCACCTGAAGCTGTTTGTCTTCTGAGAGGTGGCTGAGGTCATGGCTCACCGTAGCCCCCCCCTGGAGATAGGTATTGCTCCTCCACTTCCTCTTGCACATCCCTGATGAGCATCACTCTTGCTTCTTGTTCGGGTCGAGGCACCCACTCTTTCAAGAGATTTATATGTAGTACTCTACTGGAGCGTGGCTTCCCAGGGGTCGATACCTCATATGTTGTGGGCCCGAGTTGCTTCTTGATCTCAAATGGTCCCTGCCACTTTGCCAACAGCTTGCTGTTATCACTTGGGAGGAGAACTAGTACCTTTTGTCCTGGGTTGAAGGATCTTTGCCGAGCTGACCGATCATACTAGGACTTCTGCTGTTGCTGGGCCACTGCCATGTGAGATTGGGCAAGCTGACTCATTTTCTCCAATCGATCTCTCATCTGAACAACATAGGATACAATGTTAACAGAACCCTCCCTCGCCTTGTTTCCCTCCCAAATCTCCCTCAACAGTGAGAGAGGTCCTCGTACTTCATGTCCATACAAAAGTTCAAATGGAGAGAAACCAGTGGAGGCTTGGGGTACTTCTCTATAAGCAAAGAGGAGGTATGGCAGCCACTGGTCCCAGTCTGTGCCACTGTTGTTGACAAACTTCCGTAGCATCTGCTTCAGGGTTTGGTTGAAACGCTCAGTCAATCCATCAGTTTGGGGATGATATGGTGTGGTCCTCAGGCTCCGAATACCCAGCAAGTGATACACCTGTTTCAGCAGAGTGGACATGAAGTTAGTTCCCTGATCAGTTAATATTTCATGAGGGAAACCTACTCTTGAAAATAACTGAACCAAACAGAAAGCAACTGATTTTGCTTTTATGGATTTCAATGGAAAAACTTCTGGGTACTTTGTGGCGTAATCTGTTATGACCAGCATGTACCGGTTTCCCCCCTTGCTCCTCTCAACAAGACCAACAATGTCCATCCCAAGGCGCTCAAATGGGGTGCCAATGATGGGTAAAGGCTGGAGGGGAGCTCTGGAGGGGGTTCTAGCAGATGTTATTTGGCACTGAGGACAACTTCTGCAGAATTGAGTGACCTCTCTTCGCAGGCCAGGCCAGTGAAAATACCGTTGGATGCGAGCTATGGTTTTATGCTTACCCAGGTGGCCAGCCCAGGGAATAGAGTGCCCCAAAGAGAGAATGTTGTATCTAACTGCTTGGGGAACCACTAGCTGCAACACCGACCCCTGCTGACGGTCGAGAATGCCATTTTTCAGAACATACTCGTCTTCGTTGAAGTCCAGCTCAGCCCCTGGCTCTTTTTCCTTCGCAGTCTGAAAAAGAGAATCTAGGGATAGATCAGCTTTCTGCATTTCCATGATATTGGCTGGCATTTGAAACTGTAAGGATAAATCTGGCTCAGTGCTGGATGGTGGGTTCACAACTGTGTGTTGGAACTTTTCCTGCCTCCTCTGTCTGCGAGTTTTCCGAGGTCTCCCGGATGTTGTGTCAAGCTCCTGATTGAAAAAAGGTAAAGCACTAAGAGTCTCAGAGTGCTCATTTGGTGATTTTGCCTGTGCTCTAGTAACTACAACATTACATTTTTGGCTTTGCTTCCCCTCCAACAAATCAAAAAGCACTGGAAGATCTCGCCCCAGCACCGCTGGATAAGGCAAGTTATCCACAACCCCAATGTTCAAGAGGTAAGTTTGACCCTCTACTTTTATGTACATGTCAGCTGTTGAATAGCTTTTCTCATCTCCATGCACACAACAGATTGGGATCGTGTCTCTTGTGCTAATAATGTTGGGTGGTACAAACTTCCGGTGTACAAGAGTCTGACTACTCCCAGAATCCAGCAAGGCCTTGATAATCTGTCCATTAACTTCTATAAGTGTCATCTTAATAGACTGGT